ACCCACCAGTGATGCCTGTCAACGCCCAGCAGTTCCACCTACAAGTGCCTCCTCATCAGTGCCCATCAGTGCTGCCTATCAGTGCCCATCAGTGCAGCCTACCAGTGCCCATCACTGCAGCCTCATTAGCGCACATCAGTGAAGGAGAGAAATTACTCATTTACAAAATTTTATATAACAGAAACTAAGAAAAAAGTTTCAAAGTTTTAGTTGTTTTTGGGTTGTTTAGCAAAAATTAAAAAAAACCCAGAGGTGATTAAATACCACCAAAAAAAGCTCTATCTGTCTAAAAAAACATTTATAAAAATTTCATATGGGCATAGTGTTGCATGACCGCGCAATTGTCATTCAAAGTGTGACAGCGCTGAAAGCTGAAAATTGGCCTGGGCAGGAAGGGGGTAGAAGTGCCCGGTAGGCAAGCGGTCAAGAGATCTTAGATTAAATCGTTTCCTCCCGCTGCTAGCATCATCATTCAAAGATCTGGATATTATAATCATATCCCCTATTCCTTTACAGTCCAGGACAGGGGCGGACTGACAACCCATGGGGCCCCCGGGCAATAGGGGATCATGGGGCCCCTGTGTCCTTGCCCAAACTCAAAAAAGCCTATGAAAAAGGTATCAGGGGCATCCCATGGGGCCCCCTACTGACCCCGGGCCCTCCGGCAGTGCCCAAGTTTCCAAATGGTCAGTCCGCCCCTGGTCCAGGAATATTCTTCTACATTGTAATACAATAAATACTCTGTTTGGCTGTAAAATCCCTCTTTGAACCAGTTCTAGGCTACCACTCCAAAACTCTGCTACTAAGAACATGCTTCCATCAGGAACTATGAATGAATAATGTCCAGATGGTGCTGGATGTAAATATCAACACACAAGCTGGCAAATGATCTTTACTTTTCTGTATAGGTCACTATGGAGCTTAAGCTGCATAAATTAAAATACCAAAAAGCAAAAAGAAAGAACATCATATAATTAGATTGGTAGTGTTTTCTTTAAGATTAAAATAATGCAGCTATTACCACTCAATTATCTATTTTGCCAAAGTCTGCTTGTCAGGGAGTGTATTATTCTATAAACATTTTATTTGTCAGTAGGACCCTGTGAGTTTTATCTTCACATAACAGCTTGTCAAAGCCATATTCATTAAAAATTGAGCACCCAAGGGCTATATAAGGTCTATGCTTTGTATAGATCTAAAGTTATTTAAATATATGGCTGGTATAAAGCTTGATCCTCTAGAGGAAGATATCGATTGTTTCAACACTTTATCATGTAATGATAAAATAATAATAATATAGTACAGTGACTAATGGTGCTAGAGCCCTACCCTTAGTTTTTATTTTCATTTACATCGGTCAGGAAATCGATGCTTTGTTATCATTACCATAGGTAATGGATGTTACTGAACTGCGGAGGGTAATGCAGTAAAATGAGAACATATAGCTAGAGTACGCCACCTTTCCTTCTTAGGCTTTTAAATAAATGCCATTTCATTTTTAATGTGTAACTGAGGATTACCAGCACACAGCCATTTACATTATTAGTTAAAATTCTGTTAGTTTAGTATATTTGTGCGGAGAGCGCTCCTAATGACATTTGTGGAATATATTAATATATAAATTCAGTATCCACAAATAAATAAACAATATAATAATTATAATACACTTCAAACTGTGTAAATCCAACAAAGTCCCACAAAATCCAAAACAGTCACACTTTCACCCCTGAAAGTGAATGAAAATAAATCAAAAACCTTTTTTGTGCCAATCAAAGTTTGTAATTCAAAATAAATTCCACAAAAATTACTCTTCCTTGTCCAACTTGCACCGCCACATAATTTATTTATTTATTTATTTATTTATGGTGTCCATGGAGTGATTTCACGATTCATGTGTTGCTCATGATTTGAATCTTGTTTCAATTTTTGCACATATTTGTGTTAAGTATATACTTATTGTTTGGTAAAGTACAGTGGGGCAAAAAAGTATTTAGTCAGCCACCAATTGTGCAAGTTCTCCCACTTAAAAGACGAGAGAGGCCTGTAATTGGCATCATAGGTAGACCTCAACTATGAGAGACAAAATGAGAAAAAAAAAACAGACAATCACATTGGCTGATTTGGAAAGAATTTATTTGCAAATTATGGTGGAAAATAAATATTTGGTCACCTACAAACAAGCAAAATTTCTCGCTCTCACAGACCTGTACCTTCTTCTTTAAGAGGCTCCTCTGTCCTGCACTCATTACCTGTATCAATGGCACCTGTTTGAACTTGTTATCAGTATAAAAGACACCTGTCCACAACCTCAAACAGTCACACTCCAAACTCCACTATGGTGAAGACCAAAGAGCTGTCGAAGGACACCAGAAACAAAATTGTAGACCTGCACCAGGCTGGGAAGACTGAATCTGCAATAGGCAAGCAGCTTGGTGTGAACAAATCAACTGTGGGAGCAATAATTAGAAAATGGCAGACATACAAGACCACTGATAATCTCCCTAGATCTGGGGCTCCACGCAAGATCTCACCCCATGGGGTCAAAATAATCACAAGAACACTATGCTCTGGGGCTGTTTCTCCGCAAAGGGACCAGGACGACTGATCCATGTACAGGACAGAATGAATGGGGCCATGTATTGTGAGATTTTGAGTGCAAACCTCCTTCCATCAGCAAGGGCATTGAAGATGAAACGTGGCTGGGTCTTCCAACATGACAATGATCCCAAACATACCGCCCGGGGCAACGAAGGAGTGGCTTCGTAAGGTCCTGGAGTGGCCTAGCCAGTCTCCAGATCTCAACCCCATAGAAAACCTTTGGAGGGAGTTGAAAGTCCGTGTTGTCCAGCGACAGCCCCAAAACATCACTGCTCTAGAGGAGATCTGCATGGAGGAATGGGCCAACATACCAGCAACAGTGTGTGCCAACCTTGTGAAGACTTACAGGAAACGTTTGACCTCTGTCATTGCCAACAAAGGATATATAACAAAGTATTGAGATGAACTTTTGATATTAACCAAATACTTATTTTCCACCATAATTTGCAAATAAATTCTTTCCAAATCAGCCAATGTGATTGTCTGGTTTTTTTTTTCTCATTTTGTCTCTCATAGTTGAGGTCTACCTATGATGCCAATTACAGGCCTCTCTCATCTTTTTAAGTGGGAGAACTTGCACAATTGGTGGCTGACTAAATACTTTTTTGCCCCACTGTATATATCAGCCATTATTGAAGGTAATGCACTATGTAGTTTTTTTTACATTTGTGGAATGCTTAAATTATTTGTAAACCCTCATCTTACTGAATAAAATATGAAAGACAAAACATTTGTGTATAAATATATAGAAAACAATATAATAAAAATTTCTCCCAGCGTCTTCCAGAACAGCCCTTTGAGACGTAGAGCTCCTCCCTCTGGGTCAGGAAACACGTAATCCCCAAGCCTTAAAGGCGGACCTCCAGGCCTGCATCCTAAGTTTTACCCGAGAACTACCGGAAGACACTGAAAGACATAAACACTTAAGTAACCAAATATACATTACTTGTATATTGTTAGGGTGAGAAATCACGGCTGTCCTGGAAGACTCGTAGAAAAGGAGTTACTGGCACCGGTAAGCCTAACTCTGGCTTTTCCCCCTTTTTTTATGTGATCACATTTCATCTATTCTCAGCTGCATAAGGAGGTCAGAGAGCTGGGGGAGGAGAAACAGCAGCTCACTAATCTTCCCAGTGAATGGCTGTGCGGGAGGGGGGCAGGAGAGGTCAGGACAAGTATGATCATTAGAGGAGAACAGGCTTAGTTCCTAGCACAGCTAGAGAATTGGCCATGCTGTGCTCTTGTGCCTAGTGTGGTCAGTATTTATTAGGAAAGCAGAGGGACTGGCAGAAACACTAGAGAATTGGCCGTGCTGTGCTCTCATGCCTAGTGTGGTCAGTACTTAATAGGAAAGCAGATGGACTGGCAGAAACACTAGAGAATTGGCCGTGCTGTGATCTCATGCCTAGCATGGTCAGTATTTAATAGGAAAGCAGAGGGACTGGCAGAAACACTAGAGAATTGGTCGTGCTGTGCTCTTATGGCTATTGAGTTCAGTATTTAATAGGATAGCAGAGGGACTGGCAGAAACCCCAGGGATTTCACACAAAGGAAGCAATACAAAGAGAACAGGAGACTTTTGTACATGGTACAGCCGGAGCATATCAAGAATATGAAATGTTGGGTTTATATATTCTTGAATGTGCTGTAGATTTGAACCCAATCACTTAAATCTTTATTTCTAGTGTCATTTCAAAAGCTATTTTTATTTTGTGAACCTAGAACTTTCATTGAAACAACACCATGTAATCATGCTATGAAGGTCCTTGCTCAGACACTACCTGTTAGAAGGTGACAACCTAACAAGAAGTTCCTAATTGTTCTCTGTGAACTGTCACCTGCTCACATGTGCCTTTGGTGCAAACTTTATAGGGCAGTACATTCACTTGAATGGGCTGACATATGCATGACAAATGTACCAAAGAAGCATCCAAACCTTATCAACCGTGTTGCATGTTTTGGAGCGTTTTTGTTTTTTTCCATAATAACATTTTCTATATAACACATATTAAATGTTTTCATGCTAGATGCAAGAAAGGGCATATCCACCTTGATGCAAACAAGGCATTTGCCTTGGGTGGCATTTTTCGTGGGGCGGTGCTGCCCCCAGGCAGAAAGGATCAGTGGCATCGTTACAGGGGCGCAAGGGAGACAATTCCTAGGTCTCGTCTAGGCTTAGCTTGGGCTGGGGGGTGGTCTCAACTGGGCTGGGTTTGGGTAGGCCCACAGTGATGTAATGGCACTACTTGGAGCCTTTTATAAATTACAGTAACAGCCAGGATTGGTTGGGGAGGCGAGAGTGCTGCCTGCCAGAACCGGAAGCTTTGGGGTGGGGTACTGCTATTCTTGGACTTCACGGTGATGTGTGAGAGGTGAGCAAATGGAAAGCATTACAGGAAAATGTTTTGTTCCCTATGATGACCATGAATAATCATTACTGGGGAGTTATGTCCGCAGTCTCTAACCGTCTCCTGTATCCTGTCCATAGTCTCTGACCATCTCCTGTATCCTGTTTGCAGTCTCTACCATCTCCTGCATCCTATCTGCAGTCTCTCACCATGTCTTGTATCCTGTCCACAGTAGAAAAGACGAGCAAATGCTTCAACTCCTGCACTGGACAATTACTGGCGTGTTTCGAGGCTATGCCATAGACTGGCTCTGAGGAAGAGGCATAGCCTCGAAACGCGTCAGTCATTTGGAGGTCTATAGTCCCCTTTAAGAAACCATCTAGGGAGACTAGACCATGCTGTACTTCTTATGATGTGCCCTTGATTTTTATCCTTTTGCGAGTATACCACTTTTTATGCAATAAACTAATTTTCTTAGGTAATGCACTAGGCCCGTGCATCCTGTCCACAATCTCTGATCATCTCCTGTATCCTCTTCACAGTTTCTTACCATCTCCTGCATCCTGTCCACAGTCTCTGACCATCTCTTGTATCCTGTCTGCAGTCTCTGACCATCTTCTGTATCCTGTCGGCAGTCTCTGACTAACTCCTGTACCATGTCCGCAGTCTCTGACCAACTCCTGTATCATGTCTGCAGTCTCTGACCATCTCCTGTATCATGTCGGCCCACAGTCTTTGACAAACTCCTGAGGTGTAGCTCTAATAGGAAGAGGTGGAACCTAAAGAGGAAGGGGTGGAGTTTACAGATAAAGGGTGGATCTTAAACAGGAAGGGATGGGACAAATTTAGATGAGGGTGCCTCGATTTTAGTCTTGTCCTAGGGCAGCACAAATCCAAAATACACCACTGGATGCATGCAACTCTTTGCAACACATTTTTAAAATTTAATCCAATTAGAAAAAATTTGCAAATCTTGGGCAAAAGCAGTGTGGGGAGTTGAGCACTGCACATGCATATGCACAGACACTGCTTTAAGTGGCTTGCAAACCCTACATATACAGTGCCTTTAAAAAGTATTCATACCGCTTGAAATTTTTCACATTATGTCATGTTACAACCAAAAACATAAATGTATTTTATTGGGATTTTATGTGATAGACCAACACAAAGTGGCACATAATTGTGAAGTGGAAGGAAAATGAGAAATGGTTTTCAACATGTTTTACAAATAAATGTCTGAAAAGTGGGCCGTGCATTTGTATTCAGCCCCCTTTACTCTGATACCCCTAACTAAAAATCTAGTGGAACCAATTGCCTTCAGAAGTCACCTAATTTGTAAATAGAGTCCACCTGTGTATAATTTAATCTCAGTATAAATACAGCTGTTCTGTGAAGCCCTCAGAGGTTTGTTAGAGAACATTAGTGAACAAACAGCATCATGAAAACCAAGGAACACACCAGACAGGTCAGGGATAAAGTTGCGGAGAAGGTTAAAGCAAGGGTTAGGCTATTAAAAAATATCCCGAGCTTTGAACATCTCATGGAGCACTATTCAATCCACCATCTGAAAATGGAACGAGTATGACACAACTGCAAACCTACCAAGACATGGCCGTCCACCTAAACTGACAGGCCGGGAAAGGAGAGCATTAGTCAGAGAAGCAGCCAAGAGGCCCATGGTAACTCTGGAGGAGCTTCAGAGATCCACAGCTCAGGTGGGAGAATCTGTCCACAGGACAACTATTAGTCATGCGCTCCACAAATCTGGCCTTTATGGAAGAGTGTCAAGAAGAAAGCCATTGTTGAAAGAAAGCCATAAGAAATTCCATTTGCTGTTTGCGAGAAGCCATGTGGGGGACACAGCAAACTTTTGGAAGAAGGTGCTCTGGACAGATGAGACCAAAATTTAACTTTTTGGCTTAAAAGCAAAATGCTATGTGTGGCAGTAAAATAACACTGCACATCACCCTGAACACCCATCCCCACTGTGAAACATGGTGGTGGCAGCATCATATTGTGGGGATGCTTTTCTTCAGCAGGGACAGGGAAGCTGGTCAGAGTTGATGGGAAGATGGATGGAGCCAACTACAGGGCAATCATAGAAGAAAACCTGTTAGAGTCTGCAAAAGACTTGAGACTGGAGCAAAGGTTCACCTTCCAGCAGGACAAAGACCCTAAATATACAGCCAGAGCAGGGGCGGACTGACCATTCAAGCACTCAGGCACTGCCCGAGGGCCCGGGGTCAGTAGGGGGTCCCATGAGATGCCGCTGGTACCTTTCATAGGCTTTTTTGGGTGCGGTTTGAGTTTGGGCAAGGACACAGGGGCCCCATGATCCACTATTGCCCCATGAGTCGTCAGTCTACCCCTGAGCCAGAGCTACAATGAATGGTTTAGAACTTTAGATCAAAGCATATTCTTGTGTTAGACTGGCCCAATCAAAGTCCAGACCTAAATCCAATTGAGAATCTGTGGCAAGACTTGAAAATTGCTGTTCACAGACACTCTCCATCCAGTCTGACAGAGCTTGAGTGATTCTGCAAAGAAGAATGGGCAGAAATGTCCCTCTCTAGATGTGCAAAGCTGGTAGAGACATCCCTAAAAAGACTTGCAGCTGTAATTGCAGTGAAAGGTGGTCCTACAAAGTATTGACTCCGAGGGGCTGAATACAAATGTCACCACACTTTTCACAGATTTATTTTGTAAAAAATGTTGAAAACCATTTATCACAATCATGTGCCACTTTGTGTTGGTCTATCACATAAAATCCCAATAAAATACATTTACGATTTTGGTTGTAATATGACAAAATGTGGAAAATTTCAAGGGGTGTGAATACTTTTTGAAGACACTGTACCCATTGAAGTGACTGGCCTCAGGTGAGGTGATACACAGAGAAGAAACAAATCATCCTACATAAAGTGTACCTGTCTATCTGCAGTCTTCTACTCTCTACATCTGTTCAACATCCAAAATTTATAAAGCTTGACTGAGCTTCCGGAAGGCATGGGGCAGAGAGCTGAAATTACACTCTGCAGAGCTCAGTGAGGAGAGCTCTTCGAGCTGATTGGAGGGAAAGGACACCCCCCCCCCCACTCTACACAGCGCACAGGAACAGAGCTAAGACTGTCAATTACGAACTATTTGCTGGAGGTCCTTCCCTGTCATCTTTTTTTCTCTTGGCGTCAAGAAAACTTGTCAGAATTGATTCATACTGATAGCAGAGGAATGAAAAAGCAGATACTTTAGAAGTGAAATTTAGTGCTCTTAATTGCAGCAAGTACACACTATAGATGGATAGGTTTTGTTCATATTTATTGTCTGAGGTTTATATCCACTTTAATGCATTTTTTAGAGTGACAGAAAAAACACCCAATCCAATAAACAGCATGCTTGACAGATGCCTTTAAGCTGTATATGGTGTCACAGAACAGTACGATTTTCATGGACAGTGTAAGCAACACTGTATTCTGGCATAATGTATTTTAAATGTGTTATTATTATTATTTTATTCATTTATTTTACCTCTACCCTTGTATGTGGGATCTAATAAATTGGCCACCTAAAAGTAGCCCCTTTCTTTGGTGATCTGTATTCTGGGGTCCCTGCAAGAACATTTGACCCCATTCACCACAGACTGTGTACAACAGAGTGCTCTGTGCCCTCTGAGGCCCTGAGGACAGCACAGTCCTCACCAATCTCTCCACTGAAGCCATTTATTACAGCCAGCACCCCAACCCTCTTCTTCCTGCTTGTATTTCTCCTGTGCCTCCTGATGCTTCTGCCTCTTAGGGATGGAGGATCCTGTTGGTCCTGAAACAGCAGCAAGTCCTCCTCTTACTTCTGCTGCTGTGCCTCCAGTGCCTGGTCTATTAGGTCACTGTGTGGGTGCTCCAAGACGAACACTATCACTAATCCACATCTTGTCACTATGTACCATTTTGGTTGTCTCTTCAAAATACTCCAATATTCACCTATGACACCTCAAGCACTGGAACTCAACTGTGGCCATGTTGCTGAGGCACCAGTAGTATCATGCCATCAATGAATATGGTACGAGGACAGACTCTGGGATTCTTTTTCCTGTGTCAATAACTCATCATTCAGGATAATTATGTACTCAGCAACATGGCCAAAGTTGAGTTCCAGTGCTTGAGGTGTCGCAGATGAAGCAGTTGGCAAGTGAACCATGGCTGGGTATGATGGCCTAAAATATCCCTCCTGGAAGCCAGGGTACTTCATGATGAACCACTGCACCACCAGGCTAAAAACATGCTCCAGGAAAGATACATTTGTGATTTTCTCAGGTGAAGGATGACCTGCAGGTAAGTGTCCTTGTCACGTATGACCTTGCCTGGCTAAAGATGGTGTGCGGTCAGCCACCTCTCAGCCTGGGCCTGGAGAGTTGCCAGAAGCTCTGTCATAGTGTGGCTCCTGTCTCTATGAGTTGTAACACAGCATTACAGTGTTTTTCCTGGGATGTCGCATATGCTCTGAAGCTCCTGGGTGGGACTGTTGGTTTTTAAATAGTTACAAGATGAGCCCAGTGAGGAGGAGGTGGTTCGAATGACTGCATTGACTGGAGAAGATGCATGGTGGCACCTGCAGCTTCAGCAGTGTACCCCATCCTGCATCCCTGCATGCCACCAGAAGATTGACCCAGTGCTCTGTGAAGGATATGTAACATCGCTTACTAGATCGCATGTTCATGGTCATGTGTAGCTACTGCTGACAGCATGGTCTAGTGACACAGACACATTGCATTCCACATGCTGGTAGAGGGCAAAAATGGCCTTATGGATAAAATAATGGTGGCTGGGTACCTGCCACTGTGGTTCCGTGTCACAGTGGCAGGTACCCACCACCTGCCTTGATAAGAATGCTCCTGGGGTGGGTGTAGGAGAAACAGTAATGTGAGGATGCCAATTTTCCTCCTGAGAATTTTTATTTTTTGCCAGTTTTGGAAACAAAAGGATCCATTTCTTAATGAGTTTCACATTCTGAGTTCAAATATAACAATGAAATTTGTCAATTGGGTCTAGTTTTTCTGTAAACGGAAAGTTTTCTACTATAGGCATAATGACTACATAATGCACAATAATTATATAGATAGATGTCTTTCCACAAATATAAAGCAAGTGATATTGACTACATAACAAAGCCTAAATGGCATAATATATTGCATAGGATTACCAAGAAAAATTATAGCCATAAGCTAAGTTGAATCATTTTAATACTTAGGATTCTCACTAGTTTTGTCTTCAGTTTGTGTCGGTTTTGCTTCTCTTGGCTTTTCTCTTGTATTCGAGGAAAGGGCTATCTCTTACAACTGCACGTGACTACACGCTTCAGGTTCTTCCTCACTTGACTCAACCACGAAGGATTCTGGTGCTTTAGGAATTGGTAGCCCCTCTCCATGAGGAACTGGACGTATTGCCGATGGAATATTTGAATAGTGCACAGATAACTTTTTCTTCCTATTTAGCCCTTTTACAATTGGAGGCACCATACAAAAGTAACAATTACTAACATGATCTGTTGGCTCTCTCCAAATCATTGGCACAGCGAAAGGCATAGATGCCTTTTTTCCATTCAACCATTGCTCCAGTGCCGTCCCACAAGAATTGCAGCATATATGTGGTGCCCAGCTCTTGTCCTGGTCTCCTATCTTGCAGCCAAAATACAAGTTGTAGGCTTTCTTAATCATT